TTGATGCATTTGGAGTTCGCTTTTGCGGCGAACCACGTGGTAGGACCTCTTATAAAGTCTCCACATTTCGACGCTTACGTGGACGTCACGCGCTTACAATTTACCTCCAAATACATTGAAGTTTACACATAGCTAACACTAAGAAAGTCGAGTTTGTGCTTCAATAAATCCATTCTGGTGGATTTAAGCCACCGTTGGGTGATGAAATCCCGTTATAAAAAGACGCATTTTCACAAGGGAGATGCACCGAGCTGGGGGGTAGTAATCCGTGTTTGAACGATTCAGTCGAGATGATACCTAGGTGTACCACTTGAGCGGTAAATGATTAAAAAGAAATGTTCCGACTGCAGTGTCGAATTTTGGTTTTCATTTTTCAGAAGCAGACTAAGCCCATCTCTTCTTCTTTTGCCTAGAGTGTCACTTTGTTTAAAGGCCGATATACACTCTTCTTTTGTATGTCGACTACCCTCTCTCTACTCTCCTAATGGCCGTAGGTTAGCAAGCCAAATGCAATAACTCTCCGTTATTCCCCCGAAGGTTGTTTTCGTGCCCCCTGGGGACTGCTTGGTCCTCTCAGGGTTTTACAAGAGGGGCGAATAATTCATTTTTTATCCAGCCATAAAGAAGTCGGAATTCGACCTTCAAGTGAGAAATTCGATAGACAGTTTTAACAAACCGTTTTCGCTTGCTCTATACCAGTCCAGGTCCGCGCTCCAAAGCGCGCTTTGAATTGTCGGCTGGAGCTTTCAACACCTGTATCGTTCTACAAAAAATACCATCTGCTAAAACCCTTCAATGGGCCGCGGTTGTCACTTACTGCAGATATCCAATCCCGCCGCCTCCACACTCCAAATCACGGCGGTGGCGAAGAGCAGGACAAACAAGGGCCAGGTCATCTCGATGCTGGTTTCTCGACGTCTTTGACTGGAATGGTTAGTCCTTGCGGGGAGCCATCGCTTGTCAATATATTACCGCTCCGAATTGCAAATTCATCGTCATGGACAGTCATTCCTCATTGGCAGCTGTGCCAGCCTCTCGAGGAACACCTGTGTAAGTTGATGTTGGGCCGACATTTTCTTTTTCTGTTCGACAAGGACAGGGTCGTGAGCGCCCAATTGTGGGCGCCGGGAAGTCGTTTCTCATGTCTCATTGCGAATGCAAGTTGTGTTGACTCGTGTCCATGGGCTGCTGGTCCCACGCATGTGATGTGTGGTCAGGTTCGAGAAAATTAGAAGCAGGTGTCCTTTCTGACGTAGGTCTTCGCCGATTCGCAGGTCGGTGTGTTCCAACATCCCTCTTGTCTAATAAACTTTTTAGGGTTTTGTACTTCCTTGAGGCGTCGGGGGCCGAGGGGGAAACTCAAGGCAGAGTCTTCCACACCTTCACAACCTGTCGCACATATTTCACAAAATATTCGCGAATAGGTCTTGCGTCGTTATCGACATGACGTGCAGGAGCATAACAAAATCATTCGGCTCTCCATCGTCATTTTTTGCGGTTAAATATACCTAATGCCATGTGGACTGAACGGAAACTCCTTCTTCAGTGTGCGTTGCGATACATCTAAAAATAAAATGACATCCCATCAACATTTGTTTTAAACCATGGAGTGTCGGGAAACACAACTAAGGGGAAACCAGCTCGCGCGCATCCTTGCATTAACTTAATTAATCCCAGCAATCCATAAAAAAGTAATTTCTTCCGTTTTCGGTTTCTTGCTCAAGCAGCAGTTTGCACTCCATGAAACAAATTAACACGGCACAGCTCGGAGCATGTAAAACGAAAGCTCACGCTGCAGGACCCAGGGATCCTAAGTTCAACTACACACTTGCCGTTTCGGTATGGATGAACATCATACCGGCTTGCGGTAGTGCTTCACTACTGCATTTTACACGTTGAAGGAAGACCCCAGACTAGCACCTAATACCGGACTGCGTAGATTTCTCATACACAGCGGAAATACCAGACGCCTAGCGGGTCTTGCTAACTTTACGCTCTGTAAACATGCGCACAACATGATTACTTTGTTTTGTACTACTTTCGTCTCTTCAAGGCTTGAAATGTAGTTTCCACGCCGGCTAACACTTACCAGCGACCTTCATCTCCGAAGTCCCACGACGCATGGGAAGGCCGCACGCACCGTGACCTCATATAGTGTCCCGTGACACCAAAACTTGACAACGCGACGTTAGGTCACGTGACGTCATAGTGTAACGTGACCTGACGTGACGTCAGATTATGTCACGTTTACTTCTTTGTTAGATTAAACAGAGAAATTCACGTCACGTGACCTCATGTCACGTAACATGACGTGACGCGACTTGGTCACGTGCCGTGACGTCACGGTGTCGTCGCTGGGTCACGCGATGCACGATGTCACGCGACGTCATTTACCTGCTAAGCTAGAGGGGAAATTCGTACATCGGACGGACGGACAGACGCATTTTTGGGATGAGGAGTTTCATTAAAAAGCATCCCGTGCTTTTCTCAGCTTTAGATTTAACTTTCATGTTTATTGTTTTTACAACGGCGGGTAGTTTTTCGCTCCGTGCGATTATTTCACAGAAAACACCGCAGAAAATTGGGCAGGTTCTCCTCTCGTGACCGGAATAAGCTTCCACGTGTTCTGTCGCTCCGTGCCGCCCATGTTCATCACTGCCACCTGCCAGGGTTGGTAATGCTCAGTGTGCATGCTCTGCTCCGGACATTGTTCGAGTTCTGCTATTAGTTTGTTAGCGCTCTGATTGGTCACGAGCAGGAACCCGAATATCTCCCGAGCACGTGGCCAAACAACGACGTGTAATGGTAATGTTCAATTTGGGAGCTATATCCGGCCGAAGTGTTTTCGCCGTTTGCGACCGTGGCCGCGTGGTTTGTTTGAAGTCGAAAAACTTTCCAACATAAAAACAAAGCAAAACAAAACAAATAAATATTGAGCTCTCATTTCTGAAATTCTGCAGCGAAAACCAACATTGTTCTTATGGTATGGTGTACCTGAATCTCACCGAACGTTTCGCAGTTCATATAATTGGAACCCATACAAATTATGCGGTTTCCTTTTAAATCGCTAGGATTGCATGAGGATAGTTTGAATTTTGGGACGGCACGGGGAAGAAGCGCAATTCTGTGCAAAGGCGGAATATTTTGATACGCTAGAGTGTTTTCAATCTCTTTTAAGCTTTAGGTACCTGTTCAAAACAAAAATAAAGGCGACGAAAAAAACAAACACACAAAACAAGTTCCACATTTATGTTCCTCTAAGGCACACCGCCAGGTTTTCCGAATTGCAATGATGCCACTCACCTACTGCACAGCAGAGCGTACACAATAACAGACCAAGCTAAGCTGTTTAATTATTTATGAATTATTAAATAACTTAACCTGCTGGTTTATTCCCAGGACCAGGAGCGTTGCAGAAAAAAGTGGGCTATAAAAATATACATTACAATAAACCTTCAGCAACGAGAAAACCATAGAACATTTTTTGCGGCTCCTTACAAACGACGGCGACTCTGCATGGAACTGTTATTGTCAGCAACTTCAGACGTACGTATGGGAATTTAATTTTGATTGAAAAATATATGTTGAGAATAAAAGTGTTATACAATGTATTGTTGCTGCGAGACTGAATGCCAAAGGCTGGTTCGCACACATACGACTGCTTGCGTTGAGAGGACACACTGGTGCCATCTATTGAGTAGCCACGGAACGTGTTATAGACAACAATTTCTTATAGGTAGTACGTATATTCGATCTCGCAAAAAGTGCCAAACCTTCGCGTTCTTGTAAAACGCAGATGGGCCAATGCGCGCCAGTGCGTTATCTCGTTGTAAGAAGAGAGTGTCTGGTGAATGCGCGCTAACAGGGGACATAGCCTGTAGCGCACAACACGTCATTCGAAACTGGTATGACCTTGCGAACAAAGCCGCCATCATCAATGGCATCATTTTGTTCTTAAGCATCTAAACGAATCGCCCAATGAAGTGCCCTTGGCCCTAATGGAATCGGAAATAAATAATAAAAAATTATATGGTGTCGGTTTTTTAGGGGGCCTTGCATTCTCATACGCACTAAGATGTGTACACGGTTAAGATGTAAATCTGTTTGTACCAAGGCTAACACCTCAAGAGTGTCACTACGACACCTTAGGGTGCTGTTTAGCACCCTAGAACCCGGGTGCTGACCATCCTACAGATATCTTTTTTTTTACGCGCAATAAGTGTAAAAGCAGCACGCACCATATACAGTAGTAACGTGCATGTAATCAACAAATACAAACGCAATTAAACCTTCACAAGACCTGACTATAGACCATGCTGACTGCTTTACCGTCTTATACTCTCGATAATACTCATTCACAGGTGACCGCCGTCGCAATTACGAAGGTTACAAGTACGTTACTTTGTTCTCCTTATTATTTCGCTTAAGACATGATATGTCGAAGCTCAAGGAATTTAACTGAAAGTAGAAACATGGCTAAGGCCAATAATTATTCGATGTCGCCGCTCATAAGACCTCCGTTAAAGCTGTTTGAAAGAGGTATGTTGTCACTTTCCCACACTGGTAACACAACAAACCTTTCTACACCCTTTTATTCAGAACATGAGGAACAACACCCTTAACAGCATCCTGCTCTATAATTATGAAGGGTATTATTCCTGAAGTAAGGGTGCTGAAAGGGTGTAGCCACGGGTGGCGTCCCCGGAGCACCGATTTCATGCCCTTATTAAGATTGTAACTATTTGTATATATAAATAATTTTTCGTTGAGCAGAGTTGTATGTATTGTGATTCTCGAAAAACAGATTAAGACGCATATTGCCCTTACTATTGCTACGTTTTTACCCAAAATTTGGCGGATGAGTTAAAACAACAAACAGCTTTAAGAAACATAATTTACGATATGTTTAAAAGTGGTGTTACCATCTGTATACGCTTAATGTAAAACGACGTGAACCGTGCAAAACAGTGTTAATAAAATGTAAAACAGATCTAAACCAGTTTGACGAAGTGAAAGTTTTATTTCGTTGCGGAAATGTACAGTCTTTGGGAAGGGTTTTCGGAAACCGATGTAGAAGAGGATGGCTTTCGCCAGTAAATTATTCTTTGGGTTTACACTTCTCGTCCGCCTTTAGGAATTCCACCATGTAGTCTTCCTGAAATTGTAGATGTTAAGAGCAGGCAAACACTTCAGTATACGAGGTTATTAAAGGTCAGAATTGTGCATTAACTTTAACTGTTCAGCTAAAAATGTGTCTTACCGTGTAAATGATTGTTGCCAACCGGTCCTGTAAGCAAAATACAGTATTGTTAGTACTTCACGAACAAATCTCGTAAATATATATATATATACATTATATATATATATATATATATATATATAGTTTTCATCTGGATATCTGACTGAAAATACTGAACACTAGATAGAACAGCACGCAGTAGAACCGCGAGATCAACCTGTAAAGGGTCTGCTAACTTCTCAGTCCGTCCCCCCCCTCCTCCTCCTCCTGGCCCCTCCCCCTTAGTGACGCCACTGTGGCTTCTGCCTCCTGAGTGTGACTCAGGTGTATCATGATAGGTACGTCTTAAGCCACTACTGCTTACATTTAGTGATTCTCTCAGATTTATTCTAAATATTAAGCACTCATGTGCCTGGTATTATGAATTATTTTTTGTTACCAATACCGTGACTCTTTTTGCTTATTTTCTTATTACGTGAAACATTCATGGTGTCAATTTGCCGGTCCTGTAGAAAAAGCTGTCAATGTGACAGTTTTGTCCTTCAGGCCTCCAGCATCATTATCCACTTCATTCATTTGTTTATTTTCAGTGCTCATGAACGGGAGTAGCCTAAGTAATGATGCAGAGTCAAAAAGAGCACACAGAAGAAATCTACGGCACGTGCAACATCTAATATCTAATATTATGTGTGTTTTCGATGCAAATAAAGTTCATCGTTATTATTATTGTTATTATTACTTGGAAGTCGAAGGACACGCATTAAATATTTGCGATTAGCAACAAAAAAAAGTATAACTAGCGTGGGGAGGCACAAAAACAAATTCTAAGTGGCAGTGAATTTTTAATGGTATTGTTAACTGCCAATGCTATTGTTGTTTCGAGGTACCGGCATTTGCACATGACAGCAGCATAAAAAGAAATCGCAACGGAATGCAAAACGTATGCGAAATGACTTGAAAAATGCAAATGATGATGCGCGTCACGGAACGTGTCGTAGCCGGTTTTTCGTATTTTCTGTCTTTTTTCTGTTGTTATTTTTGAAGAAAAATTGTGAAATAAAATAAATCTTCCTCTTTAGTTCAGTCACCAAGTGATTATGAAACGCGACCAGTAGATATTCTTTTTAAAACAGATTTATCAACTTGTTTCTTGATAGCTAATTTTTTTTTATTAAAAAGTTATTCGAGAATTTTTTTGTGACATTTTCTTTCCTCTAAAGCTTTTTGGCTTTAGTGAAAATGCGTTTTTATAGACCCCTCTTAGGTTATTCATAAATGTTCGATGCAGGCGTAACGTGCAGCTCAGTAGTGCGATAATTGGTGTCCCAATAATCGAGCCTGTTTATAGTTGTTCTGTTTCGTCTAGTGTTTTGACGTTGAAGAGATCAGATCAGCGCTACATGACCACTTAACCCAAGTCATCGCACCAGAGATCACGTCAGGAGTCATTACCTCGGTATTACGCAGGTTTCTGTCTCAGAGACAATTCGGGTAGACAGATTAATAACATTTTCGTAGCAGCATGGTTGTGCAAGATCGAGAAATTCAGCTGATGTAAAAAATATTTATAAGGAAATCACTGCCAAATGGTACAGGAATGTTGGTCTCAACAGCATGCTAAAAGGTGTTTTTAAAAAAAAATTATAAATAAAGACTATAGGTGACCCAGACGGCGATCTGAACACGACAGAGAGCTGCAACACTCTAAGAAATCTGGAGCATGCTCAGTGCCAGAGTGCAGACTGCTTTTCTTTGTGTCTAAACATATTTTCAGGTTCGTCATTTGTCGAGCCTCGCTCCCTATAGATTGCAGAGATTGACTCTCTCCAGCGCTCTGCGGGAAAGATAGACGCTCTAAGTTACTTTAAATGTAAAGCCTAAAAAGAAATTAATTGAGCGCAATATGGGCAAAGCCTCTTACAATGTCGGAGCCTAGTCTGCACAGACTTCGGATGTGTCCGATTCCATTTCCCGGCAACCTTTCCATGAATTTCGCGACCTGCGTGGAAACGGGTATTGATATGTAATCGAGAGATTCGAGGCACAAGAGAAAGATTGTTGAAAACATATACGCTTATCGTAGGAGGAAGCATCGAGTGTCACTTACTTCTGGTTTTACTGTTCTGTGAATACAGTCCATTGCCTTGACCATGTCTTCTTCGCTGAGGCCTACGGGGGAACACATGTGTTTTAGTAAGAATTTGTAGTGAGCCTTTTTTGCTTTGTTTATCAGCTCCTTTATACTTCCGGAAAAATAATTTCTAGCGATTTTGTTTTTAATACGTGGAAGCCTCTGTCCGGGAAGCATAAAAATGCAAAAGGAAAACGTGATGTAAGAGAAAACTGTAAATATTAAGAACAGTAAGGGCGTGCACGTCCTATGTTACTTTTTAGGGTTACACCAGCTCCAGAGTACTAGAAAACTAAAGACAACCAAGAAACGAAGAAAGAAAATCGCAGTGTGCATAAACCTCCAAAGTTGCCCGACTTGTACAATCTACAATAATTAGCGTTCAGAACGTCGTCCCGGTTTCAATTTTATGTGTGAGTAGGCGTGGCTAAAATATTTAGGCTACGTTTCGTATCACTTCGAGATGTGGCAGGAGTGCTTGAAAATGGTGTAGGGTACATATATACCTAAGGTTCAACTGGAATATAGCATGCTCAAGGCGAGCTTCTCAGCAGTTAGGTTTTTAACGAAATTTTGCAATAAGAGCTACCTGAATTGTAGTAATGCAAGTATATGTAGCACTTGTATTTTGCTGGTCAATGCCCACAATGGCAAGAATAATTTACTCTGTAACGAATTGCGCATGTATTACATGCATGAGTCGGGACCCAAATCAGAGCCAATGCTGTACTCGCGGTAATATTAACCGGTATGTGCATAGCTGCCACACACCCAATCCTGCTTTTTCTGCGGTTGCAATCCCCACGACTTAATACTATCTCACGATCTGTCATACTGTTCAAAGGTTGCAAAACCACGTTTCGCGTTTCATCAAACAGTGTGGAAAAATAAGAGATTTTTAAGAAACCGGCGGGTACGCCACAAAAGAATGACCGACTGTTGCAGCTCATATTGTCCGCGATAGCATAAAATTCGCACTTGCGGTATAATTTTCGAACATCCAACGAGGCCCATCGGGAAAACGTCGAGTAAAAGTTTGGATGTCAAGCACAAGGGACCTCTTAACCACTTTGAATTTCTTGTAGTGATAACAGAGCAAATAAGTACAGATACTTTTAAGAGAACTCACGGCACAAGTAATTCCCTCCATGGACGAGCACCGCCGAAAGAAGGAGCGTGACTGCAAATACCAGCACCGTCCTTGTCATGGCTGCGACTGTGTAACTGTGTTTTCTGATCGGCGACGTGTAGTGTCGTACTGAGTGCCGACTACTCTCTGCAGCGAAGATTCGCCAAACAGTCTCTCCTTATAAAGCGAACAGAAAAACAAAATCAGGAGGCGAGAAGAAGGGAATTCCTGGATGCAACCTTGACGTACCTGGAAGCTCACATAGCAATATTTTAAAGGGGGGGCGCTTCTGTCCTATTCGGTGTGCACGTCGAGAATGCAGCTCTTCAGAGATCACGGGATACTATAAGTGGAGGTGCTTATAGTAACGCGGCTTCTTCATTCAAATTGGCGCAGCTACATATGCGTACGCTCGCTGTCGAGGCGTGTTTTCCCGCACGGCGGGGAGCAGGAAAGCTGCCAAGACAAAGAACACTAAAGCGAATTGTTTCTTGAATTGCTTTGTTGGTCACTTTATAACCATAGGGAATGAACTCAATTGTGGCGGGCGCGGTTTTTAGACCGGTTTTACGCAAGAGTCGTCATTCGGAGAATTATCTTTCAGTTTTGTTTCAGGAAGTCGGTGTAGACTTAATTTCAGCGTTTATTTTTTGTCTTCTCTCGCTTGTTGGCATTTAATCGTCAGCGTATCCCGTTTTGGCAAGAGGTCTTGTTGGAGTGGAACTTTCCCGGGAAACAAGATTTGTGCTTTTTGCTTTTTTATACTTTTCGTAATCATGCTTATGTGCGGTTTGTTTGGGCTGAGTAAGAACGCGGGGCTTTTAGAGGTTAAGCAGTCTCACGAATGCTCTAAGAAAATAATAAGCGCTTGATACATCTCGACATTTTTTTTTTGCTTCTTCGAATTTTTTGTTTGCCTACTCTTTTGTTTCTGATTTTCTTAAATATACTTTTCTCACTTATTTTTTCGTTCGTTTTGAATTAGCGAAACACAGTTTATTATCTGAGTCACCCAGCCAAAGAGCGAAAATTTGTTTCTATCAAACAAAGGTCACACTTTCTATGATAGAAAAATACAATAAAAAAAGAGTACTTTCTTTATTTGTTTTCTCTCGGGCAGAGCCCGAAAGAAAGGCTAAAAAAGCCGGACGTGGTACCGGTCCCTTAGAGTCCACACATAAAAAATAATATGGAAATCCATTCCATCTAACAAAATAATGCAGCGTGATAAACCTTTTTACAGAACTGAGACACACATACATAACACAAATACAACAATAAAAGCTATGTAAATAGGGATAAAATGTGTACTAAATGCAAAAAAAAAAAGAAAATACAGATTATAATCAACATAAAAAGAAAAGCAAGTCATATAAGGAACACACAAATAACAAACATCATTATCGCTCACTTTACGGAAACTGAACAGTAAATACCCAACAAAATAAACAACAAAGATTAACTTTGAAGGTATAAAGTAGAATACAACGCTTTAATTATTGTGAATAAAAAGCTTAGACAAATTTTATATCGCTGCCTACCAGCAGTGCTCTACCTTCTCTTTTAAATAAAGGGAACGATTTTGTATAGTTCATAGAGGGCATATTATTTAATAGACTAATTGTTTGATAGTGTATACTCTGCCTTCCGTAATTTGTTCTTCCATAGGGTTCACTTCTTTTAACATGACAAAACAGATACAATTCTTAAATAATTTGAAGTAGTATAATTAATTTGCCTTTAAGATCTTATATTTAATACCCCCCCCCCCCCCCCCCCCCCCCATAGTTTTCGAGTATGCGCAGAACCCTTTTTTTTGTAGGATTATTAATTTACAGTAATCAGTTACTGTGGTAGTGCCCCATATAAGAATTCGATAACACATTTTGAAAAAAGAAAAGGATTAATACAATGTTTCAATTAACCACCTCGGCACCAAGGCTTGCCACTCTATAAATACAGCCACTAACTCGTGATAATTTACATGTATATTCCATTTTAGGTCTTGGTTAAACCACACACCCAGAAATTTTTGCCCGGTTATTTTTTGTATTAAATCACCTTCAAACGTATTGTAAGACGTTTCGTTACAGGTTTAAAAATCACATATTTTGTTTTTGCTTCTGTTTAATTGTAACCCACTGGAACTCAGCCATTTTGAAAGCTTTACAAGATAGGCGTTTTCCCTTTCCTCCAAACATACTAAAATATCTTCACTAAAAAAATATATTAGTGTCATCTGTATACATTATTAACTCCGGAAAACCAGAAATTCTTGCGAGATATTATTTATATAAACTAGGATAAGTAAAGGGCCTAATATGGAGCCCCGCGGGACACCTTGACGCGTTTTTTCCTTATTTAACTCTAGATCGTCAATTTTTACGTATTGCTGCCGATTTGTTAAATAGCTTTTTAGTAATGCGAGCTCGACCCCGCGGATTCCGTAATGTTCTAGTTTTCTGAGTAAAATAGTATGCTGAAGGGTGTTGGATGCTTTCCTCAAATATAAAATCAGTGCGAGTGTAATTAACTTGCTTTCAATATTTGCAATCAATTTCTCTTTTATGTCCAGAAGTGCCTGCCTTGTAGATTTTTCCTTTTTGAACCCGTATTGGGCGGCGGATATTACGCAATGTTTTCTAAAAAAAGAAAAACTTTTTAGGTGGTTTTCTATTATGCCTTTAGATATCTCAGAGAATAATGTCAGTACAGAAGTGGGCCTATATTTTCGATACTTTTTTTACTACCGCCCTTGTCAATAGGAGTAACTTTAGCCAGCTTCAAATCAGTCGGGAAAATACCGCCCTCTAACATTTTATTCGCGAGGTGTGATAGAATAGGGCTAATAATTCTAGCTACGTACTTGAGTTGTTGAGCCTTCAGCTTGTCGTCACCCGCTGCTAGGTCTTTCTTTATTTTATCAATAAGTGTTTCTATTTCATACATCGTTTTCGGGAAAAGCATTATTGAATTTGTTATCTTCGTCATTGTCATCACGTCCGCGTTTGTATCGATGAAAGTATTACCATACTTCCGCCGAAATTTTTAAAACAAAAACTTGATCATTTTGTTTACCATTTTAACGCCCGTCACATCGTTTTTGTTCTTTCAGGTTTGCTACACTATTAAAAACTTCCCATACTTTTCTTTGGTCCGTTGTGAACAGGCATACATTTATTTTGGTAATACTGGCGTTTGGCCGCCTTCAAATCCGATTTTACTCTATTCATCATTTTTCAGAATTCTTTTAGTACGTTCAGATCACGCGAACGCAAGAATTTGTGATATATTTTATTCTTTTATTTTCTTTACTAAAGACGCGGTTACCCAGGGTTTTCTAATTTTATTACTTTTCTGTTTTGATTGTTTTAAAGGAAAGGATACGTAATACAGCTTTATACTTCCGATGGAAGACATTAAAGGCTGAACAAGTATTTCCCCCTGTGAACACTTCTCCCCAATTTGTTTCTTCTAAAAGGGAAGTCAAAGTGTTCAGCGTTTCATCGTTTATATTTCTATAAAAAAGTGTTTCAGTTTGCTTTGTGTTTTTTTTTTTCGCATGAAAAGGCACAGGCTAAAAATAGGGAGATGGTCACTGCTGTCCTCTATAAACCCACCAGAAACAAGTTTATTTGCAAGCACATTAGTAACACAGGTGTCAATTGAAGTTGCACACTTTTGAGTCGGTTTGGCAGGCAGTGTTATTTCGTTGTTACAGGCATATTAATTTAAAATAATCCGAAACTTCCTGGCATGTCCATCATTAGCAATTGTATTAAGATTGATTTCTTAAGTATCAAAATGGCAAAGAAAATTCACCCAAAAATTTTTGGCACGTTGTCAAAATGTTTTAATAAGTCAGTAACATTGCCAGAAGGTGGCCTATACACAGTCGCAATATGCGCAAACTCTCCTTTGGCAACTAGACACTCAATATTTTTATTAATTAATTTAAAATCTTCCAGTATTTCGTAGTTTAAGTTTTCTTTAAAATACATGGCTATTCAACCACTCCTTTTTGTAGTTCTGCATAAACTTTCAAATTTGTATCTTTCAAAATAGGGCGGAGCCTCGTTCGCAGTGAGCCACGTTTCTGTAAATTACGTTACGTCAAAATTAACTGATAGTGATTGAAAAAAAAGGTAAAGCTTGTCCTGTTGATCTCTATGGCACTTTGTGTGCTTAACTGCATGACAGAAAAGTGAGTCCGGTAATTTTTGTGTAACTTATTGAAAAATGAACAATTATAATATTTGCACTCCTGCTGGGGTTCCATTATAAAAAAATCTCACCAGAGCGAGAAACTCATGGGAAGTCTAACTGGCTATTTTTTCCACATCACTTTGACTGTTGATTTGTATTACTTGCGAAGTTTCGTCCTTACGTGTAAATATTTTCCCGCCCCTAGTCCACACAAACTTCCACCCCACTACTCGTTTTCGTGCGGTGGTTGCCCCGAGCAACTGTTTGCCTAAACCTGTTAGGTGTTCGTTCACGTAAACCGGGGTACCTGGGCCGCCGCATTCGAGAGCCGTTGTCGTCAGCCTAATACTTTTTGATTTCGCTAGAATTTAATTTCTTTTTGAGCGTCGCACGAACCGGACAATAATGTTTTTCTGACCTTCTTTGAATGTTAGAACACGACAGATGTCAATGTCACCTTCCGTAATGGGCTTGTCTAGGATGGTGCCGATTCTTTTTACTAGAGGATTTCCTTCTGAAGGCATTCCTTCGATTTCCAGATTATTGAAACGTTGGGACATTTCAATTTCCTCAATCTTTGTTTTCAGCATAGCGTTCTCCGTGTCAAGCGCCCTGTTTCGGTTGGTTGACTGCTGAATTTCCTTACGTAGTTCTTTTGCCTCATCTTTAAGTTCCTTGAGGTTGTCGTGATTGTCGCTACTGAATTTTACACTCTCTTTTACGCCCCGAACTTTGGCTCTGATCTCACGGCGCGAATCTTCAATCGCTTTAGCGAGTTCATTGTTGTCCTTGGTCATGCTTGCAGTTCTATTTTTTTTTTTCACAGCAGCAAAAAGAACGCTTAGCTCGGCCGCAGTGCAATCTAAGGCTGTATGGAAGCAGCAGCGGCAAACAGACCTTAGCAGAAAAGGAAGAGGTTGGTTAACTGACGTGGGAAATACAGGACGAAGTTTTAGGTTGCTTGTGATCCGCCGCCGCTGCTGCCTGTGTCGGGGTCGGCCGGGAACAGTTGCTTTTGTAGCTTGTGTCTTGCTTCAAGGCCAATTCCGATGGTGTTGCACGATTGGCTTTTCTGTTGGTGACGTATACGTAGATTATACCCTTGAAGCGCTGTGCACCACTCTAAAAA